TATGCAAAAGGAATCATACTATAAATGTTGTTTTGTACCTTTTAAAAAACTTAACAATATATTTGGACATCTTTCAATCTATGTGAAAGAAGGTGTCTTGGTTTGTTTTAAATAGCTGCATAGAATTCCATCCTGTGAAATCATCATGGTTTACTTAACCAGTCCCAAAGATGAATGCTTGAGTCGCTGCCCATATTCTACTTTTACAATGTTATTCATGAAATACAAGAAAAACAAATAGCAATGCTTATTTTTCATCTCGAATGCCTGTGGGCATATCCATAGGGTAAATTCTCAGGAGTGAGACTCCTGGATCAAAACTTAACTCCGCAGTTTTAATTTTGAAATATATTGCCTAATTGCTCTCCACAGTAGTGGGCCTAATTTGCATAACCAAGAGCAATGTATGTGAATGCACATTTCCACAGCCTCATGCACAGAATGTGTGCTCAGACTTTTGGATTTTTGCCCATCTACTAGGTGAGAAATGGCATTTCTATACAGTTATAATTTTCACAGATCTCATTATGAATGAAGTAGAATATCTTTTCATATGTTGAAGAGCCTTGTTTCCCCTGTGAACTTTGTTCATACTCTTTGTGTAATATCCAGCTGGATGGTGTAGCAGTTGCAGTTGGCACTGCATCAAGTTCCTCTTGGCAGCCACGTCTATAGCTGAAAGCTGGTTGTGTGAATGTTGGTACTACTTTGCCTTGGGCCTTTTCCCCCAGACATGGTGGCGTACACAGCAAGTGTGTAGGAAAAGCCAGAAGTGCCAGAAAGTTAATGTCTTGGAAGCTTCTGTCCTCCAATATTAAGCAAGGATTTGGTGGATGAAAAGCACAGTTTTCTTTCTCCTTGATGGGAATATGGAGAATATTATAGTTATATATCATATTATTATTATAATACTATGATTATATATCTTAATTATATCTGAAACTGTCTTCCAGAGTTCCAAGCAAAATTGAGCTCCAGTTGCCCATATGGGTAACCAGCTTGAAAATTCATACTTTATTCCTTCCCTTCCCTGTCTACTTTACTACTCGATTCCCAGTATTTAATAATTTGATGACTTTTAATTTCCAGTATAAACTCTTTTACAAGAAGCCTTGCATCAGGATCAGTTTCTAGAAGTGCCAAGCCAAGCCAGGTTGTTAGGCCCACCTTTGAGTGCTACGCCAAATGTGGTCTGCCCATGGTGCTGGCTTGTGAGCTGTTTGTTAGCAGTCTGTGATAATTTCAGAAATTAGGGTCGAAAGTTTAGAAACATTTATGGCAATTTGATGTTGCCATGATGATATTTAACTGTGTGATTTTGTTTTGGAGATATATGCATTGATTTGTAATGAACTGGAAAAAAACAAAACAAAAAACACTGGCCCTCATCTCTGATAGTTGGTGAGGCATTGCTTTAAATGATGGCACTAAGAAAAATGGGTGGAAGCACAACTAGGAAAACTTTGGTCATCTACAGAGAGAACTCCCTGATAATTTCCTAAAATGAAAGATTGCCTCTTGGTGATGGTCAGTACTCTACCATGAGAACAGTTAAGCCTGCTTAGGAAGGCAAGCTATAAGAGACTCTATAGAAGACGCCTGCATTTCATAGCAGATCTCTTCCGCTTTTTAAAAATTTTCTAAAACTGACAAATAATTGTTGCATCTAGTCATGAGATACATAGTCATGTTTATATGTGTACAATGTACAGTGATCAGATCAGTGTAATTAGCACATCCATCATCTCAAACATTTATCATTTCTTTGCATTGGGAACATTGAATAACCTCTTGGCTATTTGAAATTATATGTTATTGTTAACTATAGCCATCCCACAGAACTATGGAACACTAAAACTTATTTGTTTTTCTGTAATGAAATGAAAACAGGAACTCTGTCATTTTTTTTTTCATCTCTATCTTAGTATGAAAAAAAGGATTAGTAAAAATGAAATGAATACACTGCTTGGACTCCTTCAAAATCTGTTGACTTTCTGAAAATCATAAGGTCAAGTTTAATTCTAGTTTTCTAGTTTATCACAATCTGATAGTTTTTGTTATACAATACTGTGAGTTTCAGTCCAGCAGCCTTTCATTTTTATAAAACTGAGAAACTGGCCACTACAGGTAATGGAACTAAGCCTATTGTATGTGTGTAATCCTAGATTCATCAGCTAGTGTTAAAGTACTAAATGAGAAGTGTTATGAAATTTCCTGCATGGGTTACTGGATCTCAAGAACAAATAAGTTCACTCAGTACACAAAGCAATAAGGTGAAACCAGGGAAAAAGAAAACATTTGCCTTTAAGTTCTGGAGAAGAGCTGTCCTCTGCTTGACTGTCTTTGAGTCCTCAGGTCTGGGGATTTTGCCTACCTCCACCAGAACAAAGCTCCCTTTAGTGTTTAGGAAAGCTTGTGGCCAGACTAGAGTGAGAAGACTAAAACGGCAATTGGAATGGGATTGAACTTAATGCAGGAACTGCAGATCTGACGTTTCTACAACCAAAGAGGATGAATTGAAATCAACAGAGGTAAACATGGAGTATTGAGGACTGGGCAATCAGGAATATTTAAAATGCTAATAAGCTTCTTGTCTTTCAAAATGTTTTTAAGAACAGTTGCCAGTGGGTTTGGTTCACTCAGCCTATTTTGTGAATTCAAAGGGACACTTAGGAGGACAGCATGGGTGTCCTCCATCATTGTTGTGTTGAAAGGAGATGGCCCTGGAGCCAGAATGCCTAGATCCCAGCTCTGCCTCTTATCCGTTGTATGAACTTAGGCCAGGCACTGAGTTTTCAAAGCTCAGTTTCCTCTTCTGAAAAATAAGGATAAGAAGAATACCTTAGAGACTCGTTGTTGTAAGGATTAAGTCAGATAATGCATGTGACGTTGTTAGCATAAGCTCTGCTCATGGCATTATGCAATACACATCATTAAAACTCTTCCAAAATTCCCTTACAGCAGGAAGCAAGTAGTACTGGATACTTTTGGTCTTCACCTGGTAATGGCAACAGCACGGCCTTGCGCTTCCACACTCCCCTTTTCTCAGTCCCTTTGCTCTTAAGCCTTGATCCTTCACCTCCCTCATATGGGTTTCATCTGAAACTTTAGAACTTTGCCTTGAGTTTGAGGAGAGGTAATGCATATGTTACTGGAAAGGGGGGGTCCAATCCACACCCCAAGAGAGAGTTCTTGGATCTTGCACAAGAAAGAACTTGAGGTGAATCTGTAAAATGAAAGTGAGTTTATTAAGGCTGTAAAAGAATAAAAGAAGGACTACTTCACTGGTTGAGCAGTGGCATGGGCTGCCTGACTGAGTGTACTTATAGTTATTTCTTGATTGTATGCTAAACAAGGGAGATGGATTATTCATGAGATGTTCAGGAAAGGGGCAGGCGATTCCCAGAACTGAGGGCTCCTCCTGCTTTTGGAACCTATAGGGTAACTTCTGGATGTGGCCATGGAATTTGTAAACTGTCATTGTGCTAGTGGGAGTGTCTTTTTGCATGCTAATACATGATAATTAGCATATAATGAACGGCTAAGAAGGCCAGAGGTCACTTTCATTGCCATCTTGGTTTTGGTGGGGTTTGGACGGCTTCTTTATTATATCCTGTTTTTTCAGCAATGTCTCTGTGACTTGTACCTTGTGCTGACTCTGATCTTATCCTGTGTCTAAGAACACCTGCCCTCCTGGGAATGCAGCCCAATGAGTCTCAGTCTTATTTATTTATTTGACATGGAGTTTCACTATTGTTGTGCAGGCTGGAGTGCAATGGTGTGATCTCGGCTCATTGCAAATGACCTCTGCTTCTTGGGTTCAAGTGCTTTTCCTGCTTCAGTCTACAGAGTAGCTGGAGGCATGTGTCACCACACCAGGCCAATTTTGTATTTTTAGTAGAGATGGGATTTCACCATGTTGGTCAGGCTGGTCTTGAACCCCTGACGTCAGGTGATCCACCCATCTTGGCTTCCCAAAGTGCTGGGAGTACAGGTGTGAGCCACTGTGCCTGGCCAATCTCAGCCTTATTTTACCAGCCTCTATTCTAGAAGGAGTCACTCTGGTTCAAATGCTTTTGATACATTGAAAAGTAACTTAATCTCTTTTCCTAAATTCTACTTAACAAACTTTTAAAAGAATGAAGGATGTTTCTAGAATGTAATCCTAATTCATTATAGAAAATTGAAGTAGGATCCTGTAGGACTATCTGTGGGCTCTCGTGTGTGTGTGTGTGTGTGTGTGTGTGTGTGTGTGTGTGTGTTGTACAGGTAGTAATGAAGATGATGGTTGTGATGATGGAGAATGAAAATTGCAACTACTGTGTGCAGTACCTTGACTGCCATTACACCTTAATTTTGGAAAGGAGCTCCAGAGGCTTTTGTGCTCCCAGAGGAGAAATCCATAATCTACATTTATCATTATCACGGCTCTTTTGTGAACCCTGAACAATAAATGCACGAAGAATTCCTGAATAGATTTCTAATTGAAATGGCTTTTCAATAGGGGCTTTCTATTTGCTTCTAGCTTCTTGGCCTTCTTTTATAAATAAAGCATTTTAATACTATTTTTGAAAGCAGGATAACACCTATCAGGGCTGCAGCAGTTCAGTCGTGCAACGCATTTAATGCCCAGTCATGCAGTCTGAATCCAACCCGATGTCTGCTTGCCAGGCCATTAGCCCTGTCCCTGTGGTGTTTGTGTGGAGAAGGAAAGCCTTTTTTTCTCCTAATTCTCACAGAAGTCCAGGGTGGGATAGTGCAATCCTCCCCATTTAGCCATCTGCTGCTCTCCCCTCTCTGAGGATACTGGGCTGCACCACCCTGCTGAGCTCAAGCTTACATTGCAAGAAGCTGCAGACCTGTTAAGGCACTTAAAACCCATACTCTTTTCCTTATCCCTGAAGGGAAGTATTTTAGTCCTAGATGATGGAAATCTAGGTAACTTTCTTTGGAATGCTGATGAGTTTAAACCAGAATTAAACAAAACTAGAAAATATTTTTAAAGTAACGTTTAATGAATACACATTTACAAAAGCCATCATCCCTTAAAATGGGGAAGGTGCACAAAAATAATATGAACATATAAAAATTTTCCTAGAATACAGGAAACATATCAGCAGTAAAGAAGCTCCATTTACCTTTTTTAAATGTACAATAGTTTGGACCTGTTAAAAGGAATGCAGTCCACCCAAAGCACCTATTTTCGTCTGTTGTAAACTCATTCTTTCTACCTTAAGTAAACTGGAGGAGTCAGCTGTGTTAATGCGGTCAAATTAATTTCGTAGTTTGGGGAGGAGGGAGGTTGTGGGAAGGACAGAAGGAGAACTTGGGCTTTCTTTGGTCAGCTGATGGGGCTTGGAGTTCTTGTGGTTGGGGCCAAAGGTCAGGTCTGGCAATGCAGCTGTTATGCCAAAGCCACCAGGGTGTTCTTTTTAGCTTCAGGTCAGCATTTTACCTATGTATGGCATTTTCTATTTTTAGTGATATACTATGAGCCAGGATAAACATATTACTCCTTTAACAAAGAGGAGTATGGTTAACTCCAAAGGCTTCTCTAGATGAACCTGGATGGGACTTAATCAACCAATGCTCAAGTCAAAGAGCAGTATGCAGCCACAGCACACCTGAGTGTTTTGCAAAACATAGATGAGTAGTGACATTTTCCGTCTTTTCCACTGATGCTCTAGGGTCAGCACAGTATATAACATGATCCTACTCAACATCTTCAAGCTTTTTGTATCCTTGCTTGGGGTATCAAGGATAAGTTGAAGGAGCATGTGTTCTGTGTACCTTTGCCACCAGTTATAAATAAATGCAAATTGAAATAAAAAAGATAATTTATAATGGTATGATGAAAGCAACACCCTCATTTAATGGTAATGAAATTGATAAGGCCACTTTAGAAATGAATTGGCAATATATAGCAAATGCTAGTGAAAGTTGTTTAATTCTATAATCCCAATTCTTGACAATTATTCTGAGGAAATAATGAAAAATATGGAAAAAACATTATCAGTGCAAAGATATCTGAAATGTTATTTGTTTTAGTAAAAAGTGGATATAGTCTACATGTTTCATAAGGGAAGAGGTTTAAAATGCACATTTGATGTGATATTATGTAGCCATTAAGATAATATATCATGTAAGGCCAGACACATGCCTGTAATCCCAGTGCTTTGGGAGGCAGAGGCAGGCAGATAACTTGAGGCCAGGAGTTTGAGACCAGCCTGGCCAACATGGTGAAACTCCATTTCCACTAAAAGTAAAAAAATTAGCTGGACATAGTGGCACATGCCTATAGTCCCAGCTACTCGGGAGGCTGATGCATGAGAATTGCTTGAGCCTGGGAGAAGGAGGCTGTGGTGAGCTGAGATCATGCTGCTGCACTCCAGCCTGGGCAACAGAGCAAGACTGTCTCAAAAAAATAAAAAATAAAGAAAATAAGGTCTTTATTAGGTAGAAAAGGATATAAAATTGAATATATAATATAGATAGCATTATTTTCAAAAAGATTTATAGAAAAATATCCTGGATTGTTAATGATGTTTTAATATATTTTAATCATTTTTGTATAATGTTATGTATGATATGTTATGGTGAAAGTAAAAAAAATGGCCTTAGTAGAACAGGTAGAAAAATGACAAACTTAACGCCTTTTAGTTATTTTGGTATGGGGGAAGATCATGCATAAGGCTCCTTTTAGCTCCATGCTTCAGCTAGGAAGGTTAATCCTCCTGAAGGTCACCTTGAAAGGGTACTATCAGCACAGGAAAACAGTGAGAACCATCCTAAATTTCAGGAAGGATTTGAGAAAGATCCATGTTTTACATAATGACGACTCTTCACACATTTCTGCCCTATGACTTTCCATAATTTTCGATCATCTATGCATTGTTCAAATTTATACCTTCAGATTATTAATTTAATTTTACTGCTTACAATTATAATAGACTTAGACAGATATAGAGGCTACCTCTTTATACTAGAAATTAATAGATGACACATATTGAATAACATTTGGAATATAACATTTACAAAGCATATGATAATACCAAAATAATACTAAACCTAATATAGTGCAACTTTACAATATTTATTTAGCTTGCTGTCTAAAATTCTGGTTTATTTGAACTTTTTGTTCAAGGACTTTTATTAACCCTTCTTTGCTTGTTGCACAATGCAAGGGGAATCCAAGTGGATATCTCTTCATTTTTATTCAGTCTTTCCTATACCTATTCTTTGTAGAGGAAGAATTATATGACAACTCTGCAGATTTGCATGTATCCAAGGCATGGTCACTTTTAATCAATTGTAAATTTTTGTTACATTATAAACTAGTTCTCCACAGTAAATATCTGTACTGATAAAAGCAAAGTTAAGGGGTCGTTTCACTAGAATTCATCAGATAATACATGTTTGCCTTTCCTTCCAAAAAACAAACAGAAAAACTCATTTCCTTTTTAAATTTCATGTGGCCCACTTCTTCAGATATACCTTTATCAGCGGTCACCACTGTGCTGTTTTTTTCTTTCACTTAACTCAGCCCTGGAGTCAGAGAAGGAAGTTGCATGTACTTCCACTGGATTTTGCAAGATATTAGGTCATGCATGTTTCCCATAGCAAGAAGCTTCTTAGTGTGAAACCACAAAGCTAATCTCAATCTCAGCCCCACAGCCACCAGGAAAACAAGAGGCAGGGACCTGCACTGATTCTTCACTAACCTGAGATAAAATAGTGTTCTCTTCTAGTATACCAATTTCTCAAAGATAGGCAATGTTTCCCTCTGTGTTCAGGAATCTCAGTCATGGTATAAGAAAAAAGCTTTACTAACGGCACCCATCATTCTTCTTTAAACATTTAAAACTATAGTTCAGAACTCCAGGTAAATTGAACTTTGCTTTAAATATCTGCTTTTCACATTCAGTGCTGATTTCTAGTGTTTTGAGTTCCTTTCCCAGCCCTGGCGGATCCTTGTAAGGGTGTTGTCTACACACGGCATGATTAGGACAAACTTGATCACCAGCACGATGCAAGGAATGATGAGCCCTAGCACGTAGGCTGCAGGAAGATACCATTTGAGATTTGAAGGGTTGAGGAATTTCTTCCCACCGTATACCAGGGTGTGGGCTGTACACAAGATCAGGGTCAAATAACCCAGTTTGGACTGCAAGCAAGAAACAAAAATATCTAAGTTAACATTATTTACATCTTAAAGTGAAACACTCTAAGCAAGTGATAGATATTTGTCAATAACCACAAATATTTGAGACCTATAATGTTTAAGACACTTTGTTAAGTATTGAAAAAAAACGCTAACCCTTCTTCAGGATGGTAAATGCTTCATTTAAAACAAGATTATTGCTTACAAATGACATAGTAGCTTCATCTTAACCTAGCTGGATGGAAAAGTTTCTCAGGTATAAACTCTTCCAAGTTAGAATAAATGATGTAGCTTGCCTTGGTTCCCAAAGGTGGAACTCTTATTTATCATCTTTTCTAGAGGTCAGAGATGAATAAGACACAGTATGGCCTCAAGAAGCACCATCTTAGTGTATGTTACTGACTAAAAGCAGATCCTAGTTCATTTCTATCACAGTAAAGAGCAATAGCCAATCCTACTTGTTTCAGCCTACATTCTAAAGCTTGATGTTTATTTCTGTCTTAATACCTTGAAGAAAAGTGTTAATGAGAACATGTTGACGGCATTTGGTCCCTGGGAGAAACTGCAAGACTTAAGATTCCAATAGTTCTATAAAATTCTAACCTAATTTTAAAGACTAATGGTCTATTCTATTATACTCATAATAAGCATGCATCAGAATCATCTTGAAGGCGGGTTAAATTTCTAGGCCACATGTTCAGAGTTACTGATTCAGTAGACCTGGGCATGGCCTGGGGCTTTGTGTATCTAACAAGTTTCCAGGTGGCGCAGATGCTGCTGGTCCTGGTGCCATACTTGGGTCTACAAGAATGTGTATTTACTGACTGCCTTTAAAGAGGGGTTGGTTGGTTGATATGTGAAAGAAAACAATTTTCCCTCTTATAGGAGAGCATTAAGTCCTCTGATGTGAGGACATCTATGAAATTTTGCTTTGAAGATTTTAAACTTTATCTCAGTATCTGGTTTTCCATACCAATATTTCCATGTTGTAAGATTAATTTTTAGATAGTGAAATTTTGACTTGGGATTTCTTTTCACCTTGTAGCTAGTATGTCTCCATACATAAATTGTAATAGTTCTTGGTACTTTTCACCCTATTGTCTTAGCTGTGGATCTGGGGGCAGCCAGGAATCTTGGCAAGGAATGCTGTATTAATAAATCAAACCATACGGATTCTGCCTTTTATACCTGGGTTCAAAATTTTCTAATTTGAGTTTTTAAATGTGACTGTTAGGGAAGTGATGGAGCAAAATGAAAAATTAGAAATGATCTTAAAGTTCTTACCTGGACAAATCGGAATTCTCTCCAGTTGACTGCATTGCTAACGGATGGCAAAGAAGTGATTCCCAAGAGTACAAACAGAAAAAATCCAAGTATTCCCAAAGCCACATATGAATCATAAAGCCAGGCTGTGGAGGTACTAAATGGAACCTCTTTCTTGAGTATTGCCTAAGAAAAATTTTAAGCAATTACAAAAATACATTTTTACAAACCGTCCACACTTTGAAAGGGACTGAAAAATACGTCTGCATGAATTATTTGCTCAAATCGTATGACATTTCTTAAAAGTTATTTTAAAATAATTTTGGTGAAAAATGCACTTAGAAATTACTTTTTTGGCAAAAAGAAGTAATTGGTTCTGTTTGAACTTGATTCTAGGAGTTGTGTAGAAAGTTTTAATTTTCCCTATAAATTCTAAAAGAAACTAAACACTTACTGAAAACTTCATACCATCTGCATTTTGTTCCCTAAGCAAAACTTGATGTTCTCAAACAATTACATCAGAATTCTGCTTTTCTCCTTTATCTGTGGATTATTCACACTCTCAAAGTTGGGTTCTTTCATGTTTTTTATGTTATAATATAATACATCAGTCTTGCACCACAAGTTGAGAGGAATCAGACACTTGTAGTGTGACTCTTACGCAGGAAACTTACATATATTTATTAGGAAAATAATGTAGAGAAACTCATAGGAGTATCATCAATGACTAACAATATTTTTTGAGACTGAAGTAAGAGCTACCAAAACTAGCTATTTCTAACTAGAACTGATTTATAGCACTTCCTCTGGAAATGTCTTAAGACTCCTTCAGCTGATTCTAACTGAATCTTTTGATTATGCATAAGATAATATTTGATATTTCCTCAGAATTGTTTGGTTTTCTAGTTATTGAGGCCAACTTCCCCCAAGTCAAACATTAAGGGAATTATAAGCACTCTTTTGTGAATTTGTTTGCTTTGCTGTGGCACATGTTTGAGTAGCCCCCTTACTTATAAGATGGTTGGTTTTGACTTCAGAAAGGAAGTAGCATGCAGAAGAGTAGAAGCTTGAAAATACATTAGGTAACATTTGCCTGCCAGCCAAAGGTATCCTGGCAAGTGTCATTAGGTTTCTTGAGCCATGAAATCTGTCAGTTTGCCAATATCCCCGTGAGCGCTGGGAATACAGATCTGGACCCAAGCGAACCTGGGAATTAAAATTTTATTCTTAATAGTTGTATGAGATCTCAACTGGATTCATTTAAAAATACTGACGTGACATTTCTAATTCTAGTTACTTTAAAAAAGAAGATGCTTAGAAGAGTGACTTTCTATAATTATGAAATGGAATATGATATAGCAATAGTCTCTGATTTCAGGAGTAGAGGAAAATACATAAGAAGAGATTTACCTGGGTAGCAGTTAAGTTTCCCAACCTCCATCGTACATAATATCGAATGGGAATCACAAGTGTGTAGAGGACATGAAGGAAGGCAAATCCCAGAGCTACCAAGCCAAGCTGCTTTCGGCAGAGCATCCAGTGGTCAAGCCAGTCTGGGAATCGACGGTATTTTGTGCCTCGGTACAGCTGTAGAATGGCAGCAATAACCCCAGGGAGGTAAACCAAAGCAAGCAGTGTAAGTGCTGTTATTGGAAAGACACGATTTGGAATGGAAATAGCCATACGAAATGTATTATCTTTCTTTTCGTAAACATAGGGGTAGATTACGTCTCTTACAACACAATAGAAAAACAAGAAGATGCACAGTGCTGCAGACAAATAGAAGGGGAACCTCCACATTGGAAACAGTTGCAGGGGGTACTTTTCAATTTCTTTGGCTGCCATGAGTGATCCTTGATCCAATGGAGTCAGTCCAAGGGCACGAACAATATCCATCACTGTTTGCTTGGCTTTGCTGTCATTTCCACACACAAACACCTGGTTTAAAAGCAATTAATTAATTCTGTATTTACTCATTTTCTTTATTTAATAATTATTTTGAAAGGCTATGTCAGCACCATGCAGAATGATGACATGTAATAGTAAACCGTTTTTAAAATAAGGACGTAGAATTAACATATCTAACAAAATGCTTTAAACTTGTATATGGTGTCCTAGATGGGTAAATACCAGGGTTTTTAGTTGAGGATGGTTTTAGGCACATCACACTTAACATAGGACCTGGTTCTCCACCCTGTGAGTAGTTTGATCTTTCTTCTGTATCTGTGGTGCCACATCACTTATGAATGCTTCTAATCTCAGTGCATAAACGGAACCAGTTTCATACAAGGTAATGGAAGTAGGAAAGGATATCTACCAAGTGTTAGTTTCTAGTACTGACAAGAAGCCTCCAGAGGCTGACACCACGGAGTTTCATCAGACTAAAAGCTGAGGGTGCAGACAGTGGGAGATGAATTGCAACAGTTGACCACCTAACTTGATCAAGCTCAAAAAATTTATTCACAACACATGCTAGCAAAATGTAATATTTAGTGGATATTTTATCTGGGAACTATATTTTGGAATCTTTGAGGCAAATGCCCATTAAATGATTCATTTTTTAAAGATTGAGTGTAAACTTGTTTAATCTTACCTGCCGACTTGCATCCAGTGCTCCTGACTGGAGAGCCCAGGCTGAGATGGTGTTAAATGCTTTTACCACGTGGGCTCCTGGCACCAACTGAGCAAGGTACTCTGCATTAGATTCTGGATATTGATTGATTTTGAGGTTGTTGCTGATGTCTACCAATATTTTTCCATTAAGAACCTCGGTTAATTCTGTGAGAAAATCATAATGCTCTCTGTGGATTGCTATGATTATGATGTCAGACTTCTTAGCTGCTTCTGAATAGCTCAAGACTTCTGCACCATTGGGCAGTAGGTTGGTCATCTGGGGATTCCGACTTCCAAAAACAACAAAATAACCACACTGGAGCATTTTCAATCCCAGAGATCTTCCAAAATCACCAGTTCCAAAAATACATACAGTCTCTTGCTTTTCTGAGGAATTCATAGTAAGAGGAAGTGCATCTATGTAAGTTTTCTCCATAGCTGAAAAATAATAACACAAATACCCAGCAAAATATAAATGCTCCGTGCATGGAAAATTAGAGAGCTATATCCAGGAAGTAATGTAATTGACTTGTCCTAATCTAATTATCTCAACTGTATTTCTCCCCAAATTTGGAAGGAGTAAAAATTGTTGTATATATTCTCATATGTGTCTTATTTAACAAAATCATTGATGAAAAACTTCTGTTTGATGAAAGGATACAGGGCAAAATCTGACAAAAAAGGCACCAATAAATTATAGATTAATTTACTTGCTTAGTGGTACAAAAAACCTAAATAAAACATTAGTAGAATCCAGAGCTTGCTAATAGATGGTATATGTTGATCATATGGGGATTATTATACAAATGTGAAGATCAGTTCTATAAATTCAATTTTAGAAAGTTCATTAATTCAAATTTAAAGATTAAAATTTAGTTTTATATTAAAAGATTTAAGGGAAAAGTCCTGTCATATCTGTGTATGTTAAAAGGACATCTGTTAAAATTTAACATTTATTCTTGATTCGTAGTAAAAAAGAAATACATAGATATTTCATTAACATATAAAAATTATTGATCTTAACCTAAAATTCAGCATTATGCCTAAAAATAATTTGTAGAAACATTTCCAACAACGTCAGAAACCAGACAAATATATCTGCTATGATCACTTTAGTTATTGCTCTGGAAGCTCTAACTAACATAACTAGATCAGAGAAAGAAATCAGAGGTACATAAATTCAAAAGGGATTTCAGATGATCAAACTGTAGACTTTAAAAACTAGGAAAATCAACCAAAAATTATCATATATACAGAAACAATTCAACACCTAGTCTGGGAACTCAATTAAAATCCATATTCTTCATATATTAAAAAAGAAACCAGTAAGAAGATTAATCCATGAAAAGATCCTACTTATAGCTGCAACAGAATAAAGACAATATGTAACAAGATAGCAAGATAGATGCAACATCTATATGAAGAAATATTTTAAATGCTTTTAAGAATCAGAGAACATAATTTATATGAATGGAAATGTACAGCATGTCCTTGGATGGCAAGGCTCATAAGATGTCAGTTTTCCCTAATTTAATCTATAAATTCTGAAAAGTAGATTAATAAATGGGATGCTAGTCATATTAAATATTAAAATTTTTATAAAGCTAAAATAATTAAATAATGTGGTACTATCAAAGAAATAGATAAAGTTCTGGCTAGGCACGGTGGCTTATGCTTATAATCCCAGCACTTTGGGAGGCCAAGGCAGGTGGATCACTTGAGGCCAGGAGTTTGAAACCAACCTGGCTAACATGGTGAAATCCCATCTCTACTAAAAATACAAAAAGTAGCCAGGTGTGGTGACCCACGCCTGTAATCCCAGCTACTCAGGAAGCCACTGCAGCCAACCCGGGGGGAAAAAAAAAAAATACGCTAAAAAAAAAAAAAAAAAAAAAAAAAGAAAGAAAGAAATAGACAAAGTTTAATGCATAAGTTAAAAAAAAATCCAGACTCATACGCATATGATAAAAATAGCATCTCTGGTCAATGAGAAAACAGATTATTTAATAGCTAATGTTATAATGACCCAACAGGTTCACCTTGCCTGCTACCTAGACTGAGATCATCTATTCAAATGAAAGAACATTTCAGCTCTTTATGAGAGTCCCGAAAGTTTTTCCCTCTATTTTAATGTCATAATCTCCAAGGTTATCAGAAACTTGCATTCAAGAGCACCTGTCAAAGTTTTATAGCTCATTATAAAACTATCTTCTAAAGAGGACCAAATCAAGACAACAATTGTCTGTGGATGACAAAAAAAAAAAAAATGTTTTAGGGAAGCCACAGTCAAACACACAACTGACAAGGAAACTTGTTACCTCTGTGGCATACAAAAATTCAACAATTATTATTACTGATAACATATACTGAGGCATATTAGAATTATTGAAATCTTATTCAATTTTGTACCACATACTAATAACATATTCATATGAATATAACCCAAAGAAAGTTAAACACCATTTTATATTTGACAATGTTTCTTGCATGATTTTAATACATTAAATAAGCCAAATAGGTCTTTTTGAACTTTAGGAGACCTACTTTTTTTTTTTTTTTTTAACTTAGAATTTGATCTTGGAAGGTTTGTCAAATATCAAAGTTTAAAACATTGGATATCACAAAATAGAATCCCATTTCACCATAAGTCATTCATTTACTCAAAATGATAGCTCAGGGCCAGGCATGGTGGCCCCTGCCTGAAGTCCCAGCTATTTGAGGCTGAGGCATGAGAATTGCTTGAACCTGGGAGGTGGAGGTTGCAGTAAGCCGAGATTGCACTGCTGTACTCCAGCCTGGATGACATAGCAAGACTCTGTCCCCCGCCCACAGAAAAAATAACTCAAAAATTTTTTAAAAGGGAAAAAACCTTTATTCTGATGGAAAGGATTTTTCTTTAAGCCAATTTATTAGAGTTCTTTTATATAGGCATCACACACACCACACATATAAATACATAGGCAAACAGAAGATCCAGTAGTTGTAAGAATTTTTTCATTTGCTAGTTTTTAAGTTTCTTAATTGGATTACTGACTTCAGGATGGAGCCCTTCAATGAATAGGACCGAAAGCATGTAGTTTCTAGGGCCTAATAAGGAGGGACAGGTGAAAGGCAAAAACAGATTCTCAAAATTAAGGGTTCCATTTTTATATTGCATCCTGAATCCCCCAAAAGAGGGAAATGCTATGGGAGTGTAATACTTTTACTATGCATTTCATTGCATGGCTACCCAAAGCAAATCAGTCCATTTTGTAATCAGCCCATTCCTCATGGGAGTCTCATTTCTCAGTGTGGGGGGTAGGGGATGGAATTTTTCATGTCTTCCATGGCCAAGAGCATGCTTCTCTGATTCAAGCCTGCAAAGAGCCAAGTATCCCTCCATAACTGTTCTCATCCCTTAAAGTAAATTTCCTACCTAGTCATTATTCACCAAGGCTAAAAGCTCTCCCATAATGCAAAGTAATTTCTGCTACCCCCAAAAGTCAAAAAATGAAATGTCAGGTAGCATAATATAAAACTGAACAGGGTCTTAGATTTTGAGAGAGGTCTATCCGCATTCAACTCCCAGGGTTCCATGAGGAAAACAGAGGGTTTTTTAAAATTAGTATTATTCCAGAATGGAAACCGTTAGAAATTATCTTATCTTCTCTCATGTGGGCATCAAGGATGGCAAGAGGGCAAAATGGAGAAGTAATTCAGTTGATTGAGAAGAAAAGCAAATAGACAAAAACTCTTTCTCAAAAACAACCAAGATTCAAGAAGAGAAAAAACACAAAGCCCTCTTAAAAAAATTGTGTGTGTGTGTGTGCGTGCGTGTATATATATGTGCATACACATATATATACACACACACACACATATAGCTTGGATATCTTTTTAATTAAGCTAATTTTAACCACAGAGCTCTTTAGAAATTTTTAAAAAATCTCTTATTATCAGACTCTAGCCAGCAGAGAACAGTCAATGATTCTGGCTTTTGAACTTTGCCACAGGTAACTTCCCACATAAAATTAGTAAGATTTAATAAGATTAAGACTTCACTATAGATATATAAGGTGTCCCAAAGAGATGGTAAGCCCTTCCCTCCCTCCTTCCTTCCTCCTTCCTCTTTCTCTCTCTTTTCTGATTTAGAATTTCCCCAAAGGTAATTCAGAGAAAGGAAAATTCAAGACAGGAAATCAAAAGCTATCCATGGGAGGAAAAGAGTCAATAAATGGCAGAAAGTTATACAAATGACAAACCAGAAAGGACTCATTCCCTAAGCCAAGAATTAAACCTGGGCTGCCGCTGTCAAAAGACAAAGCACTTGCTACCGAGCTCCAGCATTAAGCAGGTTCTACTATACTTTCCAGAAGAACCCTAAAGGAGCCAGTTTCAAGTTTGCTAAGGCCTTTGACTACTCAAGATAACTTTTAGGGCTACGACATGAACCCCAAAATTCCTGTCTTCTGGATAGCAAAGACTGAGAGAAAGTATCCCCACATGGTTACAAGGTTAAGCTCTCAAGGACGTGAAAGAAACAGAGAAACTTCGTCCAGT